TTTCAGTGGATCAGTCAGCAGAGAAATTTGCCACCATCATAAGCAAAGGATCACAACTTCAGTTTGCAGTGAGGAGGTAGGAGTACTCTTAAGGAATTATTTGAAAGACAAAAGGAGTTTTAGTTCTTCTGACCTACTTAAGCAACATGAGAGAAACATGTTTTTGAGAAAATAAATGGGCAAGTTTCATGTTTCATGTCATCCTCCTCCACATTTCATCTGCACAGTCTAATTTGGAAATCTTGGAAATCTCTTGGGGCAGAGACCACAACTAAAACAAGCAGGACCCTGTCCACCAACATCTGATATCCAAACAGCCACTGCCCAATTCCCAGCAAGGTTCCACTGGGCCAAGTAATCAAGAAATCAAAGCAGCAAATAAACCATCATATTTTATTTTGCAAATCCTAGCTCTCCAAAATGTGCCAATATTAGCTTGTGAAAGGAACTATTTTTAAGGAGGTTGTGTGGATGTTTATTAGACAGATCAGTGGAGAAGGAGGAAGAGGGATTGTTCAACCCCAGATTATATTTTAAAACAAAGGTGGAGGCTGGAGAGAGGATAAAAGGATGAAATGGACAAAAATAATCAATTTTGGAAGAAAGAATGCAAATTAAACAGGCTTGGAAGGAGTTAGTAAAGTGCAAGCAAGACACAGAGACTAAACTAAAGTTAATTACTTTTGACATGATCAGATCATCTGGTTGCATTTCAAGCTGCGTGCACTCTGGGCTGGCCAGCATGAATGGAGAGGGAAAAAAAAGTAACTCTCCCCTCGAGGTCCCTTTGCCAAGTCTGGGCTGTGTGCTCTGTCCAAGATCCCTCTTTCTTTGCACAGAGAGAGAGGGGGAGAGGAGAGAGAAACACAGTTAACCACCTGTCAGGGCTGAGGACACAATAAGGCAGCCCCCAAAAGAGCTTTTCATGCATGCGTAATATATTTGTTCAGCTATTCACTTAATGAAGCTGATAAATGTGATGCAAAACAATAGTCAAGTTAATCTATTTAGTAAAATGTTTTGAGACTCTCAGGCGATGTTAAGGAGGGTAGTGTGTTCAGGGACATTTTCATTTCAATACGCTCATCTCTCCCCTCTTAGGGGGGTTTCAAGCAACCTATGTGAATATAATTTCTTATAAATGTGTCTTTAATGGATTTAATTCACCCTTGCCAGCTGTTTTTTTAGCTATTTTGTAAGAGCAAAACAAACGTGCCAGGCTTGGAAAGCTAGTTAAAATTAGTTTCGGTCACTGGGGCCAAGCTATATTTCCTGCAAACCATCTGCTTGATTGGCACAATAGAAGGATTTTCAAGAAAAGGGGGGGATCTAGAAGAGCTTTGAACGAACCAACAGTTGCTGCTCCTTGTGCTTGAATTCTAAAGGTGAAGACTTAGGTGTCTTAATACAGCCTCGCCCCCGCAGCCTCCATTCAAGCTGCCGGCGTGGTCGTTGAACATCGTTAGGGAGCTGGGACACAGCAGAGACTGAGCATCCCTCCCCTCTCCCTCAGGCCCCTCTCCGGCGGAAGAAAAAAGGAAAAACACAAAAAAAGCAAACAAAACAAAACAAAACAAACCCAAACAAACAGAGAAAAAGGTGTGGAGGGAGAAAATAACCTAAAAAGTGCACACACACGCACTTGCACCGCAGGTTTCTGGAAGAAGAAGCGGGCATTGTGGGCCCGGGCAGCCATGGGAGGCGCGGAGAGGCTGGTCCCTTGTGGAGCGGCTCTCGGCTTGGGCAGGGAGGGACGAGAAGTTCGGCTTCCACCTGACTGCGGGAAGCGGCCCGGCAGAGGCAGGAGCTGTCCCGGGGAGGGTGTCCCGCGTGGGGCAGCGCCATGGCGGTGATTGAGACGTCCGTCTCCCGGGGCCAGGGATGTGGGAGAGAGATGGGGCTCCGAGCGTGACTCCGAGCCGCCGGGGGGGCGTCGGCCCGGCCCTGCCCAGCCCTTTGGTCTCCGGATTTGAAGTGCTGGCTCTCCCAATTTCATGCGGATTACCAGCCTCGGACCGGGACACACGCAGCTTCTACCCCAACCCCCCTCCCTACCCCTTACCCGCCGGCAGTTTTGGATTTGAGTTCTTTTTCCTTTTTTTTTTTTTTTTTTTTTTTTTTTTTTTTTTTTTTTTTTTTTTTTTTTTTTTCTTGACAAAGAAAGTGAGTGACTTTTAAGAAAAAAAATTTGAAGATAACGACATTAAAATGAATGGCAGGAAACACAAAACTGCCTGAGCATAGGTCAAACGGCATTAGTCACAGGTTTTATCCTGAGACATTAGGGTTCCCTTTCTCTTAAATGATCACTGCCTTTGAAAAGAAACTTCCAAAGGAGATCTCTTAAAATAAGATCCTTTCGTCTGATTTCTTGGTTTCTTATGGTCTATCTTCCCTTTCAATAGATGTCTAGTCCCTTTTGCCGTGGTGCTTAAGGAATTCTTTATGAGTGTGCTCGGACGCATCACAAGGAACCGGGTCCACGCGTGCCCCAGCATGCGTTTGACCCAACCTTCCAGAAAATGTCAGCCCCTCTTTTTTAAAACCAGAGAAATTAGCAGCAGTTGGTCTATAGTGAGACAAAATGCCCCCAATGTATATGTAAAGAAAGGAGTAAATCATCTCAAAGGAAACGTATAATGACTAAAAAACGAAGTGTTCTCGGAGCAGCCGGGCGGAGCTCATTTGGAAGGCGCCGGGATCGGGGGACGGCTGCGAGAGGGGCAGGGAGCAAGGCACGGAGATGGGACCCGGAGCTGGCGGGGTGCCAGGTAATTATTTTATTGGAAAAGCCCTGTTTGCTTTTTGCATTCGCTACTGTCCCGCTCGCTTGCTAAATAACACCTCGAGAGCAGCGCTGCGCAGAAACGGGGCTTGAGGTAACAACGGAGCGTCCTGAGTGGGGGCGAGGGAGAGCTGAGCCCGGAGCAGGGCGGGGAAGCCCCTGCTCCCCCCGGAACCCCCGACAGCGGGGGCCTGAACGGGGTAGAGGGGCAGTTGGCAGGACCTGTCTGCATCCCCGAGCCCCCTGTGCTCTGCCCACGCCTTCCTTCCCTTTTTTCTTTACCTGCTAAGCATCAAGACCAACAAAACTGGGAAGTGGAGAAAAAACTCCAGAGAGGTTTTATGTCAAAGTGATGCTTTCAGACTTTCCAAGTCAGGTCTGCAGGTGTTCGCCTGCTGGGGGCCAGCTAACAGCACGGGGAAAGCTTGTCAGGATCATACAGTTTCCAGGGCTGATTCCATCTTCTCTAATAAATAACTTTTTGATTTGAATCAAGGGAGAGGTTTAACAGACTTTCTTTCTTCCCTAATGTGATATAAATCGCAGATGCACTTTTATTGAATGGTTAAAGCATCGACATGGAGATAATCAACACAAAACGTCGGGACAAAAACCATCGAAAGAAATAAAGCTGGTTAATAAGATTTTTGAGAAAGCTTTGTGTTAAGAAGTAGAAAGGGAAAACAGCTGAAGGTGACAGTTAGTTCATGGTTAATAGGATAAAGGCTGCATGGTTGAGCTGCACACTTCTGCTTGCAAAGGTTCAGACACACCAAAGGGCTGAATGGGGTGCTTTTAAAACATAGGACATTTAACACATCTGTTATAGTCTTTAACAGAGAAATCAGGTAAAACCACTCTCAATAGTCGCTTTCATCATCCACTTCCAAAGGAGACTAACTACTCTTGCGCCTATTTCCATTTTTTGCCACCACAAACAAAACCTCTCTGCCAGTTTACTACTTTCCTTTTAGACGATGTCATTTGTCCCTTGCACCAAAGTTAGGCAACTCTGGGCTCTGTCGCACTGAACGACGCACCTTCCGAAAACCTGTACATGTGCGCAGATAAAAAGTGAGATCAGGTGAATTTGTCTGCTTCAAGCTATCGACACTTGGACAAACACTCAGATAACTTCAGCCAAAAGGATCTAAACTCTACAAAATTGTCTTCATTTTTGCAGCTGGAAGGTACCAATTCCCACGTTCACTATTTTGAACGTAGATAAGCTACAGAAGAGCAACAGACTGAGAACCGGAAGGGGTTCTTCTGGTCCCACAAAGCTGTCCAGGTCTCTCCTGTATGCAATACTCAAATTTTGTGGAAGCAGGCTTCTCACCAGCCAGATCAAGGCTCAAAATTCAGTCTGGGCAAACCTCTTGCCTGAGCACAAGTACACAAGACTTTTACAAAGCTCGGATCTTGAAAGGAGAGATTGACACTGCAAATATTCCTTATTCCGGGCCTTTGATGAAATAGAAAACCAAACCCATCTACACACACTAATTCTGCCTCACACTAATAGCAGGAGCAGAATATGCTCAAACCCTCCAGAAGTGTTTCTCCCTCAACAAAGCTTAGTTCCATGTCTTCTAATTTGTATTTTCAAGTTCACAAAACCAGTGCTTTTCTGAGAGTCTGCAGATAAGTTTATATGAATATTTATTGATTTATTTCCTAAACTCAGCAGGGGAGCAACAAATAAATTTAGTGCTTTCTTTAAATAATTCCCTTTCTACGAGGCGAGGTGTCATTTGAAACTTTAAAATAGGCATTTAATTAGCCTGTGTGTGTTGCCTCTGAACAAAACCCTGCTGGGAGCCTTTGGAGCGCTGTATTCCAAAGAGGCGGTCAATATGCAAAATTGATGACTACACTTTCTTTGTGGCTGGGCCATTGTGTCCTGGTTGCTTATGAAGTCTAATCCAATCATAAATTGCAGCCCCGGACCAATGGAGAAGCCGGGAGCTCGCCCTGAATGAAGCTCAAGTGGAGAACTTTGTTGAACCCCATTGTTGGGGCTGTCACTTTTGAAAGAGCCTCAGCGGGGCTGACCACTATAAAACCCATGGTCCAGGAGGAAGGGGCAGAGAGAACTCCGCCAGACTCGCTGGCTGGATCTTTACCAACCCAGGTTTGCAAAGCAGAAAAGAAAAGCAAACAAACAAATAAGCAGGCGAGCGGCCCCAGCCCGGCTCCGCGGACGGCCCCTGCGATGATGTTCCCCAGCCTCATCTCCCCTCCAGCTGTCTACCCCAGCCTCCTCCGGCCGACCCCCACCCTCACCTTGCCTCAGTCACTGCAGTCGGCTTTTTCCAGCCATTCCAGCTTCCTGGTGGAAGATTTAATCCGGATCAGCAGGCCCACCAGCTACCTGCCCAGGACTGCCCCCGCACCCAGCATGTCCCCTCCAGCCTCGGCGGCCAGGACGGACTCGGGGACGCCGGAGCTCCCCAGCTCCACCACCGCCGGCTCCAGGAGGATCTGTTCGCCACAGACTTCCAGCAGCGACTCCACTTTCCTGAAGTTTGGAGTCAACGCCATCCTCTCCTCCACACCCCGAGCCGGTAAGCGGGGCACATCCCGAGCTGCCGCCGGCCGCGGCTCCGGGACACACCGTCCTCAGGAGGGGGGTGCCGGGCGAGGGGCAGCGAAGAGAGCCGGTTTAGGAAAAGGAGGGAGGACCCAGTCCCGAGCTGCAGAGCCCTCCGGCATGGCTCAGATTTCAAGGGCGAGGGGCAGCGCTGCCGGCGGCTGGTCCCGCTCCGGGACGGGAGGAGCAGGAGGAGGGAGGGCTCCCAGAGGCGAGTTCCCCGGGACTGTCTTATGGCTGACCTTGTCCTCACGAGTGCCGCTTTGCTGGCAAAACCAGCAGAAGTGCCACTTTTCCCCGGCCGTTCCGAGTTCAGTCTGGCTCTTTTATTTTTTCTAAAAGTACCACAGCATTGGAGTCCAGACCGAGCGACAGAACCCAGTCTTGCCGTCGGTCGAGTCCAACTGGCGGGTTTTCTCCGATTAATTTGATTTTATTTATTTACTAGAAACCTCTCCTGCGTTGCTTCAGAGCGTCCCGCCAAAGACTTTCTCATTTCCGTACTTTGAAGGATCCTTCCAGCCCTTTCTCAGATCTTCCTATTTCCCAGGTAGGTGTTTAAAAGTGTCCCTGTGTGCGGGCGGGCCCCTCTGCCGGCACAGCCCGGTGATTTCTCCCCGTCCCTGCGTTCCCCCCGGCGGGGTTATGCCGCAGTTCAGAGGTTGGAGGGAGTACAACATTCAAGCATCAGTCGCGCCAATTTGCTGCCCGATTTAGCACAGGCAGTGACTGCCTGACATTCCCTGCCCGCTCCCCCCGCTGATCCACAAATTAGCCGGGATTGTCACGGTCCCGAGGCGAGGCGGGTCCCTCCCTCCCTCTCTGCCTGCCTCCCTCCCTCCCTGCCTGCCGGCGCTGACGTTTCAGCACCACGAGGAGCGATCAGCTCCCGCCGCCGCCGCCGGAGCTCCGCGTCCGAGCAGGGTGGGCGGCAGGGAGGGATAGAGAGAGGGAGGGAGCCTGTGGGTGTCTCCCGAACCTTTCCGCGGTACGGGGGGATCCAGCGAGCTGCGGGAGCGGCGTGACTGCCCTGCTCCGCCTCCGCCGCGTCTTTATCCTTTGCTCCATCACCTCCGCCGCCTACCAGCCCTTCCCTCCTTCATCTTCCCGGTTACACCGTCAAACAACACGGGAAAGGCGAGAAAGCAGGCCACGGGGCTGTGATTGTCACAGCACCCAAGTATTATGATACTGAGAGAACAATTAAAAAAAAAAAACAACAAAAAACCCGAAATCTAATTACACAAACAAGCTATGAATTTAAAAAGAAAACGGGGAAAGGGAAAGCGAAAAAAAAAAAAATAACCTAAGCTCTTCTATTCATCCTCTGGATAATGGAATTTGCTTCCTTTCTCCAGCATGTGAATAGCCTAACAAAAACAACTTGAGCTTTATAAATAGCTTTTCATGTCCATTTAATGAAAATGATTTCGGGAAAGAGACGATTGTGCCATCAGTATTCTCCCGAGGAGCCTGGCATGCCGTTGTGTTTAGTTTGAAAGTGTAAATCTCTTTTGTTCCAGTAATATATGGCATTAGCTGCTTGTCCTCAGTCTTTTTCTGTTAGTTCATTACTACACAATTACCATTCACGCTTCATTAGCATCTCTGTCTCTCCTGGGGAGGTTCTCCCCCTCCTTTTTTTTTTTTTTAAAGGCGAAACTCTGCCCTTTTTTATCATACTAATGCCATTGGGAACCAGGCAGTGTGCTAATTAGCTGCTACTTTTCATGTCTTCGAATTGATTCTCCAACTTTGGAACGGGGGGGAGGGATAGAGAAGAGATTATTATAAAAAGATGAATACTGATTGATCAAAACTGCATCTGAAGAGGAGCGGTTTTGTTCGGAATCAGAAAAGTCCTCATTTTCATCTCCAGCATAATAAAGCATCTGAAATGATAAAAGCATCTGAAAAAAAATCAAATGCTTCTGAGTGGGAGGGAGAGCTTTTTTATTATACCTCTATTTTAGCCGGTACGCTTCGCTTTGCCTTTTCAGGCCGGGGACCTTTGAATCTCCCAACAAAACCGGCCACCATTGACACATTTTCCACATTTGAGTTGATAGATCTAATCCCGGCGATCGCTGCCTGAAAGGGGGATGGTTGGTTAAGCTTAAATCTCCTTTTCACGGCCCCAGGTTGATGAGTGCCCTCCCGAAGGGCAGGGAGGGATGGTGGGGGCCGGTCCCGCTCTGCTCAGTGCCGTATGTCCCTCCCACAGCTGCCTCCACCGTGGTCCCCATCCCTGGCACCTTCTCCTGGCCGCTGGCTGCCAGGGGCAAGCCCCGCCGGGGGATGCTGCGCCGCGCCGTCTTCTCTGATGTCCAGCGCAAGGCACTGGAGAAGATGTTCCAGAAACAGAAGTACATCAGCAAACCTGACAGGAAGAAGCTGGCAGCCAAGCTGGGCCTCAAGGACTCACAGGTGAGAGGGGCACCTCGTGGGGGGAGGGCAGAGAGTGTGTGGGGAGCCAAGATCCCCCACTCCCTGGAGGCAGCTTGAGAGAAGTAGGGGAGAAGTGGATGGGAGCAGGGAGAAGGGGACGGGAGCAGGGAGAACACCCAAAACAAGTCAGAGGAGATCAACAGAGCCAAAAAAAACACAATTGCCATCTGTGTGAGTTGGACCACAGCCTGATTGCCCCTGAGCTCTCTCCTAGGGTCCTCCAAAGATCAGATTCTGTGGCTCCTGTTAGCTTCAGTATGGGCATGTGCAGGGTTTTGAGAGTGCAGCCAAAACACCTTTTCTGGTCCGTTTTACTGAACTGTTTCACTCCTTTGTTGCTTTGTCCCTTAGGTGAAGATCTGGTTTCAGAACAGGAGGATGAAATGGAGGAATTCCAAAGAAAGAGAGCTCCTCTCCTCTGGTGGCTGCAGAGAACAGACCCTACCCACCAAGTTCAACCCTCACCCAGACCTCAGTGACGTAGGCAAGAAGTGTTCAGGAGAGGAGGAGGAGGAAGTTCCCTCCATGTGCCCACCCAGCCCCCAGCATCCCCTAACCTACCACCAGTCCCCAGATCATCTACACCTGAGGGACAGACTGGACTCCCAGATGTCTCCTTCTCCATCCCATTCTAGCAGCCCCAGCAAACCTTCAGACTTCTCAGACTCAGAGGAAGAGGATGATGAAGGGGAAGAAGAAGAGGAGGAGATAACAGTCTCTTAGGTCACTTGCCTGCCCCTACCATCACATGAGGACACTGCAAAGATGTAAATAAACCAGAGTGCTATAAATTGAAGAGGTGCTGTCCCACCCCAATGTCCACATGCTTCTTCAGTGCGGGTTCTTTATCACAACAGCTGCAAGACTTCCTTCTCACTGGTATTCCTCATTCTGCACCATGTGGAGGTTTTCATATTCATAATGTCTGCCCAACTTTCCATAATTCTCTGCTTAGCAATCAGTATCTGCTCAGTTAGCTACCTTCTCCCAAAAAACACATAACAGGCAGCTCCTGGCTCTACAGCAGGGAGGAAAGGGAAATTTCCCTGTAGGAAAGGAAACTTCTTCCCCCAGACAAAAAAAATCATCAAAAATACAATAGAGATGGCATGACCATTCCTATTACCCTTCAAGTGAATTTCCAGCTACTGTATTACTTCAGCTGCTACTGAGGACTTGTCTGATCTAGCAACCTTTTCTTCCAAAATAAATAAACTTGAGGGACACAGACCAAGCTCTGCCTCCCTCCTCACCCCAAATTGCACCATGCTTGTGCAATAGATCCATTGAAATACCTGGAATGACTTTGAAGGTATAATACAAGTATGCCCTTTGTAATGGAGATCTTATATATTTATGATTTTCTCTTAATTTATTCATCAATATTGTGTTCAAAGCACTGTCTAATCCACCTTTTTGCCCACAAACTTGTGCTTATTTTCCACTTTGCTTCCTCTATCCATGGTGTGGACATAGGAAAGTGGAGACACCTCTTTGATTTTTAACTGAACTTTGCTGTCTTTGCACAGCTTATATGAACTGTACACTATTTTGTACACTTACTCTGTATGGGTGTTTTATACCAAGGCTATTGTCAATGAATATAACAATGGTTCAACAATGCTTCTCTCTTTTTTTTTTAATTAAATAACAGCTAAACTACAGGTGAATGCAGCTGTTTGTGTAACTTATAAAGAAACACTTTTATTTTGTATTTTACCATGTACAGACTTTAAATATGTATATATATTAAAGTGGATGATTGTCAAATAAAAAAACCCAGTAGGTTTCCAATTTTGATCATTCAGTAGTACTTGGTTCTAGATAACACACTGTTGTAGTTTGTGTCTGGGAGAGGAAACTACCTTATTAGTGATTCAATAAGAATTTATCAGTTTCTAATTAAGTTACTTCACAAGAATATCTACCTGCCTTTTAACTAGGGAGAAACTCACCACACATCACTAAGATGCTATAGTTTATACACTGGAAACAGGTAATTAGACCATTCTTACAGGGTAGAGAGAATAAAAGAGATAAACTTAACTCTTCAGCCTCATGTCCAGCCAAGGATCATTACTACAAAACCAGGCAAATCCATAACCACCCACCTGCTTTTGTTTTTTACATTTCTGCTATACACTACAGGAATGTCAGTGGGTTTTGCCTTGCATACAGGTAGAGTTCTTCTGAAATAGAGATTTCATTACAAAACTGCATTTATTTTCTGCTCCATGATCTCTAATGTCCACCAGTCATAACACACCAAAACAAAAGAAAAATATGCAGCAGATGTCCCCCAGATCCCACTCTCCCTCTGCTCCACTTCACTGGCACAGCCATAAGGGAAGGTGTGAAAGGAAAAAGAGAGTGATTCCATTAGGAAGGAACCGACAAAAATTATCTAATTCATCTTCAGGGCTGGCCAAAAATTAAAGGTGTTATTAAAGGGCATTGTCCAAAAGCCTCCAGAATACTGCCAGACACAGGGCATGACTAAGTCCTGCTAGAAAGGCTGTTCCAGGTTTTCAACCTCTTTCCAGTTAAAGATAGTTGGACATATCTAAGTTGGGACACATTGTCACATTTCTTACCATCTGTCTCTCTGACACCTTGAAGCCATTAGCAATTGATAACATACACCTGATACAGGCGGAATGGAAGAAGAGATGGAAAAGACAGAGACAGTGTTTCTCCCGCAAAATACAGTGAAAGAGCAAAGGGGCTTGTTTGGTTTGGGTTTGTTGTGTTTTTTGTAAAAGCCATGCATGAAAGAAAAGCTAAACAAGGAATTCATTCACTGCTTCCCATGGGCAGCTCAGCCTTCCCAGGAGAGCAGGGCCTTATCACACTAAATAGTTACTTGGAAAGACAAGCACCACCACTCCAAACATCCCCCCTCTTCCTCCTTCCCCCCACTTTATATCCTGAGCCTGATGTCATATGGTCTGGAATATCCCGTTGGTCAGTTTGTGTCACCTGTCCTGACTGTCTCTCCTCCCACTCTCCCAGGCACCCCCAACTCCCTCACCACTGAAGCAGAGCAAAAAGCAGAGAAGGCCTTGGCTCTGTGCAAGCCCTGTTCAGCAATAACAAAAACATTGATATTAATGTCTGTATTACTGTACATTCAGCACAAATCCAAAATACATATCCTCTACCAAGTCACTGAAAGAGAACTTACTCTACCCCAGCCAAAACCAGCACATCCAGTAAACATAAGGCTATAGTTAAGTAACTTATAAAGACAGAACTAATTCAAAATACAATTTGTTTTAAAATCCAGTGGCTACTCCAGAAAACATAGGTGCCATCACACATACTGCAACACTCTAGAAAGGAACATGTCCAAAATGAGAACAGGTATTGCTTATACAAAACCCCTCCTGATTCATTGTGTGAGATGTTATATAGTGATTTGTGTCATTATGGAAACACACCATGGGATCAGTATAAACAAGAATACTGATCTTAAAGTAAAACATGGACATGAGACAAAGGAAAATATAACGATTTCATTATTTTTGTTTAAATCCCTTTGCTGTGAATTGCTAGCTTTTGCAGTTATGTATTTTTGCCACTATGTAATTGTTTAATTATGAATTGTACCCACTCTTCATGTAAAAAGAAACAACGGGCTTGTGCAAACATGTGAAAACTTGTTACTGCTGTTACCTGTCTGCTAGGAGTGTAAGCTGGCCACATGTTGGAGCTTCGTCCAGACCTGGTGGGGGCTTCCAGCCGCTGCTGCTGGGGAGAATAGCCAACATGTTTGGCCTTGCCTGGACTTGTAGCCCAGCACAGAAGGCATGACATAGCCCAACAAGAAACTGCCTATAAAAGAGCCAATGACCAGGGATAAAGGGGGCGTGTTGGTGGAGTGGAGACTCCTCACATCCCCAGAGCTGCTTGCTCGTCCCTTATCAATGAATTAATAAATTGCCTTATTGATTGACTGTGATAGGTTGGCATTTAAGAAAACAAAGAGAAACACCTAAGGAAGTTAAAACTGCTAGAGGCTGATGGGAGTTTGTCTCCTAGCCAACAACTGGCCATTTCTAAGAGTTGACAGCGGTTTTAACCATTGAAAAGTGAGATCAACCTGTGAATACCACCTTAAGACCTAAGCCTGGGAATTTCTTTGTCTCTTTGTTTCCTGGCTGTGAAGGGCAACAGAGTTTTAGCTGGCTTCCTGTCCCCTGCCCAGGCCATGTGGCCCATGCAGGGGCTGGGCTGGGCCTGCCACAGCTCCTGGCTGGGAGATGGGGCCTGCAAGGCTTCCCCCGGGCTCTGGCCGGGCCAGGCCGGTCCCTGGCTCGGCTGCAGTTTTTGCTGGGACTGAATTCACCAGAGACTGCCGAGTAAAGAAAGAAAAAAGCTCTTGACCTGCCATGAGCTGAGACAGTGACCACACGCTCCAGAGCAGCCAGGAAGAATCTTCCATCGCAGACAGCTCCAGCTGCTGCTCCGTCAGAGATCACAGAACCATCTACAAAGCCTGGGCAAGATTTTAACCTTTTCATTACCCACATGAGACTTGCAGATTAATCCTTGTTTCCAGAAAAAGAAAAAGAGAGTAATCAACATGTAAAGAGACTATATAAACTATTAGAGACAGTAAAGAAAAGAAGCTTCAGAAGAAGTAGAGAGTAAAGAGATGCTTTAATTAAGCTGAAATATTTTTCTGTTAAAGCTATGGAGATGGACAATAGTGTTCTGAAAAAACTCCTTTAATTCATGACAGTATATTGGGAGGAATGGAGTGTTCAAGGTGTGGATTTTGAGCAAAAGGTGGAGTAATTGTGATACAGTGAGGTGCTGGAACAGAGGGGGGAAAAGTAATAGTTGAAGACTTGGGGCCGTTGTAGAGGCAAAGAGAAAACTTCTGTTTCCAGGGAAGCTCACAGAGACATATGAAGAGAACTTTTGCCTTTGAATAACTCATCCTTAAAAATGACATCCTTAGACTCATGGCCCATAACACACCTCAGAGTGATGTGAAATGGGAAGAGTGAATTGATGGCAGAATTTCCAGGCAGTTGGCATCAGAGAAATAGGAAACTAAAACAAAAATAGTTTTCATGTGACAAACTCCATAGATTAGCAGAAGAAGATTTCTGTTTCTCTACAAAGACTGATGAAAAGACTCTAGCAGGAATTGGGATTGTTTTAAACACCAAAGTTCCAAAGTTTTTTCTCTCTATGTTGTCATGTGAACAAGGAAATGGTTGGGTAGTGGGGGATAAAGGAGTTTTCTGGAAGGTTATTCTGGTGTTGTTATTCTTGTAGTTTTGTTAATAAACTTTCTTTATTATTTTTAAGTTTTAAGCCTGTTTTGCTCTTGTTCTAATCCATATCTGACAGCAAAAAATAAGTAAGTTTTCTAGTAATTTTTTTAGTTACTGCTTTAAAACCACGACATTGACCAACCCAATTTTGGTGAGCTATTTATAACACTTGTTCAACAGAAATTGTTGATCTTCTTGTTTCCCTCTGTTCTTTGCATTTTCTCTGCACTAGAAATGCTATCAAAAATAACTATTTAAGACTTCTTCTTTCAGCATGAGGGCTATTTCATCTTAGAGAGCTATTACTGCTAGACAAATAGCTGTACTAAAGGAAAAATAGCATGGAATTGCCATTTAACAGGGAAAATCCTTACCCAAATGTAACATGTATTAATCTTACACTTTTTTTCTTTTCCCCTTTCAGAGTCTTTTATTTTTTTTAATAGCAAAAAGAACATTGTGGTGGCTACTAAGCACAAACATTTGAGATACCTTAATATGAAATTAAAGGGTTCAGTTTTTTTTTTACCAACAGCTGCCAGACTGCATCTCTGGCTGCAGGAAGGTGACCTCCTTCTCCAACACGTCCCTTGTACACTCTGAATGAAGAATCCAGAGTTCACAGCTACCATGGGATGGCTCATGTGGCACAGCTGCGCCAAGGGAAGTACTGCAGAAGTAGCACTGTTTTTGGATACCTAA